GGGTGCCTACAACTTGGTTTGACTTTAATAGTCACTTCTCATTCCATCTCATTCCACTAGTCGTTACTACACTACTGCTTTCGCAAGGCGTTTCATCATGTTCTGGAACTGTATATGGAAGCATGAGTTCCCCACCCCCCCCTCCGTCCTCTGAATGCGGTAAAGAGGTTTCGAACTCAAGGAGAAGGAGAAGGAGAGGGAGAAGGAGAGGGAGAAGGAGAGGGAGAAGGAGAGGGAGAGGGAGAGGGGGCGAGGGGCAGGAGGAAGGAGCAGGGGCAGGAGAAGCTTGGTCACTGCAGAGTCTCCTCGTGCTAGCAGAGTCACAGTGAATGCTTCCAGGAGATGAAGAGGTTGTTGTAGCGTTGCTCTAGCAGCAGAAGGGGGTTGAGAGGGTATGAGCAAAGATTCTCTCCTCGTCCTCCTACTTCCCAACCCCCACCCCCCGCCCCTGCCTCCCTGTAGCAGAAACTCATGGGAGAAGGGAGCTGTATGTGAACGACCTGCGTTCGGTGTTTGACGCATGCTCCAGGTATGTAGCAGCCTCCATGTCGCGCCATCCAGAGTTCAGCGTGAGGGTTCTCGACGCTCAGGTTCCCCTGCCCTCCTCCTGCCATGTCAGGAAGCTGACAGGACGCAGCGCAAGGTTCAGCCCAACCGGCTGCTCCCTGGGCTGTCATGCGGCCCAACAGAGTATACCGTCTACATCTTCCTCATCAGCTACGAGAGCATGGTGATGATCGCGCGCTATCGTGTGCGTGTGGTAAGAGAGGGGGGGGGGTGTGCAGGAATGGTGCATCCATCTGAGATTCTCAGACTTCGTGGAGTTTGATGCTCAGCTGCACAAGACCTTCTCGAAGGTGCTTCATGCTCGGAGGAGGAGGCGAGCGATTGAGGGAAGGAAAGGAGCGAGCAAGCAACGAGGGAAGGAAGGCAGGGAGGCAGGGACGAGGAGGGAGGGAGAGAGGTAGAACGAAGCGGTACTGGTGATGGTGATCAAGAAATTCAGGAGGAGCTTCAGGGTGTCGAGCCGCTACCAGACAAGACGTTCTTCAACTTCTCGGAAAT